AAACCTCTAAACTCTATACCCTAAACCCTAAACCCCTAAACCCTAAACCCCTAAACCCTAAACCCCTTTGCTAAACCCAAAGCCCTGAAGCGCCCCTAAGAACTGCGGAATCCCCTCTTTAAGCCAGCCTCGAGGTCCTGCCGTGCTCCAGTGGATTTGGAGTTCGGGCTCAGGATTTCGAGGGTACTTGGAGTTTAGGGTTTGAATTTAGGGTTTGGATATAGGGTTTAGGGTTTAGGGGTTTAGCGTTTAGGGTTTAGGGTGTAGTTCTCTAAATTAGGGTCCCCTTTTTTTCGGTCCCTAATATAGTGCGGCACCCTTGTAAAACAATCCACCCTAGCCATTTAGAGGGTGGAGAGTGAGGGTTTAGGCTGTTTTAAAACTCCTTTTTTCCGAAACCCGAGGGTCCCGAAAGGCTGGTACAGGATTTAGGCTTCAGGAGTGTATGGTTTAGGAGGCGATTGCACAAGTCCTGATGCAAAAAGGGTTGGGTGGAGTGTTAGGGCTTTAAGTTGGGTTAAAGGGCTTTAAGGGTTCAGGGTTGAAGGGTTTAGGGTCTAGGGTTTAGATGTTTTGGCCGCCTCCTGCATGGTTGAGCGAGTCACGAAGCAGGGTTACAGTTTGTAGGCAGGTATCAGTAAATTCCCCAACCATAATGGTGAAGGTGTTTGGCTGCCTGTTTCCAGCTCACCACTCATCTCGAGTGCCATGCACATGTCAGTTCCATGTCATCTTCTTGCAACAAAATGCCGACTTCGAGGCTTTCGGGTTTAGGGTTCGGCAGCTCCAGTTCGAGCAGTTTCTAGTCGAGCTCGCTACTCTGGTATCGGACATCATCCCACCCACCCACAGATTCCCATAACATTACGAAAGTTTCTTTTGCTTCTATTCGACCATGAATTTAAAAGCCAACCCAGAGCCCTGAATGCCAGCCTCGGGGTTAAAAGGCCAGCCCAGAATCCTAAACCCCTATCTGAAGGCCAGCCCAGAGCCCTACACCGAATGCCTAGAGCACCCGGATTGCCTTAAACCACGAATTTGCCGCGAAAGTCCCGGGTCCAAGTTGCCTTGAATCGCAATTCTTGGGCCAAGGCATCCCACGAACTGCGGGCTTAAATAAACAAGTAAATAAGCAAGCAAACAAACAAACAAACAAACAAACAAACAAACAAACAGACATATATATATATATATATATGCATTTGATAAAGGGGTTTAGGGTTTAGGATGCAGAAGGTGGAGTTGTTAAGCTTAATGGGGAAGCTAAACTAAGGGTTTGCCCCGTGGTGGCTGGGTGATCGCCTACATTGCGCATACACATATACCCATTTCAAAGTAATTACCCCTATAAGACAACATTTCCAATATCAACACCTATGCAACCCCAACTAACCTCCAGCCAAAAGCCACTCGCCGAAAAACTCACGACTTCGCCTAACCCGCAACCTCAACCAACCCCCATAAAATCTTACATAAGTTTCTGCAATATATTATCCCCATAGTATCAGGGCATATCTGCTTCTGTCATTCTGTATACAACTTACCAATGTCATAACTACAATTGCAAAAGTGACACACAGCCACACAATATCTGTGTAATCAGAACAGTTGTTATCAATTCTTTGCGCTGTTAAGTTGCTTACTATGACACCGTCCATTTGTTGGCTTCCAATAGGCTCTGCACTGTGTCCACACCGTCCCGTCATTCTGTTCTCTAGCCAGTCTATGTTTATATACTCTCCTTCATCAGTCTTTCTACTTGCTTCTCCATCTTGTTCCATACAAGTTTTAACCTTGATGTTAAAGTATTGCTTTACCTAATCTTTGGTTTTCGGATTGGCATCGTATTCGTAAAATCTTCGGTGCTCAAGTCTGTGGCTCTTGTAAGTGCAACATGAACCCACTCTACAACAGGGCCAACGGGGTCGTTGCCACTCGTATACGTTATATCGTCAGTTGCCGGACAACTGTGTTTAGAATGTGCTGTACAGCAACGTGCATAAGCAAAGTGAGAATTTACAAACTTGGTAAATATCGCTTGTTCAACCTCTCCTACTGATGCTCTCTAACTGAACTCCGTCCTCTTCTGTGTTTAAGCTCTCGCATACTTTAGGCCACAAGTTCTAGTTAAAAGCCTCATCTATACAGTCGTTCATACATGTTTCGTAGCTTCTGGTTGGTCACATCTGTTGCCGGCTCAAGTTGGCTTACATCATCCGCATCTATGGTTGTCCCATCGAGATTCTTTTCGATAAAGTCTTGTGTCCTAGACAGTTTAAAACTGTCATTAAAATATCTCATCAGAGACTGTCAACATCATACCCACAATAGTTATGGGGTTTCAGGTTCTCCCCCATGGAGCCGATTGCTGAGATTTTATCTACGGCTAGTGCGCCGCCGTTTACTTCTTGAGTTACGTGTTCTGTGCCCATCACAAATAGCGCTCTGTAGCCATTCTGCACCATCCATTCAGGGATTGACAACTTACCGCACCCGGCATACAATCCACCACTCTCCTCTCGTTAATCTGGTCCACTAAGCAGATGTACCGTATTCATCTCAAACCCCCAGCGTCTCATTAATCCTCTTGGGTGTTTCAACCAGTTCGTTTTCTCAGACTGGTGTAGCCCTCAGCGAATGTAAACTCGCTGTTAGAATGCCTCCAGCCGCCTATGGCCTATGCATGACCAATTTTGCCAATTCCTTGCTTTCCCCAATCCTCTTCCTAGTATTATACATGCATCGGCCTGAACCGAAAATACCACGATCTCATTACCCGTCAGCTTCAGCATATTAGAGCTTTGATGTTGTACTCGCAATTGCTTGATAAACTTGACGTAGTGTCTGAAACAGTTGGAATACCCATACGCCCCAAAGTAGTTCCTTTTTGGGGTTCATATTTAGAATCCTATAAGGTAATCCCAAAAATTAACTACTATGGGGCCTATGGGTATAGCATTTAGGACTTTAGGAAGAAGTTCGGGGTCGCGAGGCTCAATAGTCTCGCCATCTGGGCTTTCCTGCGAAGTGCCTACGATGTCATCATGTTCCTCGTTATTTACTACTACTACTACTACTACTACTACTACTACTACTACTTCGCCGATTATGCTAATCTTGCCGCCATACTCGTTCGATGGTCTAACACCACCTTGAGAATGCCAAATACCTCGAATTTGTGTGCTGCGTGTTGTCCTTTCTCCATCAATCCAAACACGACACAACTATAGTTTTGCGTGGCTGAACATCTAAGCCGGTGCTCTATTAATAAATTAGTGTATTTTCTACCTGTGTCATTTGTAAAAGATGGTTGATTCAAATCTGGTGGTAAGTCTACTTTTGCCCTATATGAGGTTAAGTTAGTATATCTTCTCGCTGTAAAGCTTCCACTCATCAAACTGGCTGAAGCAGTTATTCTGCCGATGTCTATAAAAGCCTCAGTAAAAATCTTTTCTGACACCAAGCTCTACCATATCATCTAGACTGAAATCTGTCCCGTTCCTCAGCTTGCCCATTTCATTTATCTTGCCACTGGACACTGTGGTTCTGCACTCCGAGGAATATCATACTCGTTATAAAACGACTTATGGCAGGGTTTAAGCACAGCATTTGCAAACATATTCCTGGCCGCTGTTAGTTTATCATGTTCTGTCTCGTTCTCAACCCATATACCCCCGTCCGAACTATCGTGAACGAGGTCCTGAGAAAGCACGTGATAGTTTTTTGTTATTCGCCCTGGCAAACAACCTGCTGATGTATCCTCCAGTCCAATGGATAGAGGGCTCGCAGCCAGCATTTACCAACTCAGTAAACAATGCCAAATTAACATACATTAATATACTATGCATGTTTATGTATATATATATATATATACTCGTATATCGGTTTATATGTGCGTGTATCTATATATGTACGAGTTACCCTCGACCGCAAACCCTTGGGGCATCTCTCCCCTGAAGCGCACTCGGTCCTGGAGCACGCAGTTCAGGTCACGTTTTGCCAGCTGCCAGGATCCGGCACTGCAACCTCGATAACACAGAGCCTGATGTAGGAGCCTTAATAATTAGAATAGGGGTTTGGGGGTGGGGTATATTATGTTACAGCTAGCTTAAGGAACCCCCAAAATAACACAGGGAGTTTCTGAAGCGGAACAAATGTCTAGATCAATCAAGTGCCTATAGTACGGCCCCACATTGCCTAAACTCCCAAGTGTGACGATTTTCGTTGAGGCAGCTGGGACTAAGAAGCCGCCCGTTTCAAAAAGCCGGCTCCATCCTGCTTCCAATGATAGCTCATCGTCTATATCTCGGGATACGGCATAGGAGGCCTTTGTGGACAAATACAGATTCTAAGACAGAAGAAACCCCCTTTCTGAAAGCCCTTAGACCCCTAAACCCCAAGTAGTGACGCTCTCGCAACTACTTCTGGCTTGTGGTTTAGGGCTGTGGGTTTGGACTCTCGCAATCGGACTCTGCAGGCGAGGTTAGGTAGCTTGGGCGAGGTTCTTAGTACGAGGCAGAAAGCACATTTGGCCCACGGAAGACAGCCATTTTGCCCGGCGAGGTTAGGTTTAGGGTTTTGGGCTGAGGGTCGAAAGTTTGGGGTTGGGGCCATGTTTTTTGCCGCCTCTTTTCATTCGGGTTAGGGTTGGAGGTCAGACTGCCACGTGGGTTGAAGCGGGGTCAGGGAGACCGAGACCAGAGGGATTCACCACCTCGAACCACCTACATCAAGTCTAGCATTCGGGGTTTCGGCGGAGTTCATGGGAGTTGGGGAGGTGTCCTTCTCAATCAGGATCGTACTACTCTGGGTCCCACAGTACGTAGAATTCAGCCAACGAACACAAAATCTATCAAAGAAGGAACCTTAGCAAGAAAAGACGGCGAGACCGGGACCCCCCCCAAAAAAAAAACACACACTGATTTCGCAATTCTTCTTTTCGGATGGAAGGCTCCTTCTCCTCGGGTGCTATGAACGTGAAACCTGGGGGTTTGAGGGCTTCGGGGTTTGAGGGTTTAGGAGGATTTTCTAGTGCCCATTTCAGGTTCAGGGGTTTTGGGAGCCAGGAGCATTTTAGGGACGTGCCCTCGGTCTGGAATTCGACATCTAAAGCACAAGAAGTGAGACAGTGCGCCACGGTGCACGCACGGCGACAGGGCGAAAGGAGCTATACACACCCTCGCGTCCCGAGCATCTGATGCGGCAGGAAAAACGGGCATAAAAGGCTTCCCCGTTGGACACGTGCCGGCAAGCTCGGGATCTAGATGCCTTAGCGCGCTGGAAGCGTGGTTCCCAGGTCTTCGCCGGTCATGTTAAGCTCAGTGAAGAATGCCTTCTCCCGTTCCTGGTATTTCGTCTTGTCGATGGTCATGCCTCCGGCTCCTTCCTTGTCGTCCTGGGTGACAGCCACAAAACAACGAGCACTACAGCGACAGAACTATGCCAACGCCGAGCAGAAAAAAGCCAAGGGGACCCACATTAAGAGTTGTCAGCAAAGAAGTGGGCTTGAGACAGTTGGTTCCGTGTCTACTTATCACCAACATTTTGACAGCTCCTTCTAAGTTGGCCTTCCATACGTACCATTGCCTGTATCAGACCACATGTGAAGTTTAGGAGCAACACAAAATCCCCAAGCAGCACTACAGACTTTGAAGAAGCTGGCGAAGAAGAAGAGGTAGTAGTAGCCGTAGCAGTAGCAGTAGCA